TATAAAAAACTCTACTGATCTAACTCGATTATATAGTTATTGGCTGACAAAGGAAGGTCTGGATCATTCAAAATTTTAAAAAATGCGAAAAAAAATTATAAAACTGAGATAAAAAATCAGACATAATGTTTTGATTGAAAATAAAACTAGAAATTATTTGGGGGGGGGCATTAAGAATTATGGTCTTACAATACATATAATACACATAATATCTTGGCAATGAGTGACAGTCATGATATTCATTTTGTGAAGCACTAATTTTATTTTATTTTAAGTTATAAGATTAATTCAGGGTATCTACTAAAACTGGCTGCCAAAAAAATCAGTACTTTTGCAGCAATCAGCATCTTCTCAACAGAAAAATGTTGTAGTTTTTCGATGCTTTAATTTGCCAAAATTTGAAATTCTGGCGGGAATAACGACAAAAATGTCAACCACGAGATTCGATGCTCATTGGTGCCTGAAGAACGAATGACTGCACAGTCACGATTCTAGAGGGCCAAATCTGCACCCTGCAGGGATTGTGTTCTTTCCAGGCTGTATAAAAAACACGCGTAGCATTACGTAAAAAGTGCCTGACTTTTTAACGGAATTTCTGTACTTCTTTAGTAGCTTTAGACCACCCTAAACAAATCAGTACTATTTGCGGACTTTTCAGCCCAGTAGCACCCTGTTAATTTAATCAAAACACCATCATCCTAATTACACTAATTAACTATCAGTTCTATCTAAGAGGCTGGTAAAAAAGTTTCAATTCCTAATTGAGCTACTCAACATTAATAGTATTGAGGTACACTTATAATTGGGTTTCTAATATTTTTGGTCATCTTCCTAGCCAATTTATTACGATTCCGCCATAGCTGGAAGAATGAGAAACAAAATATACTCTCTGGTATTATGGTCAGTGACTTCACATTTTGAGCAGTGATTGTTTAAATGATTCTGTAAATGCAAACTAATAGTAAATTGGTGATTAGACAGTGGAGTTACATAACCTAGGTATATGTACTTGAAAAAAATTGAGTTTTTAGCGCAGAATGAAAAATAAGTACCTCTAAGTGTAAAGGTTTTGTGTTTACGTTGCAATGACCTGTAATCAAGATCGAGATTTTTTGTATTCATGTACCAGTTGCAAATTATTGATCGGAGGAAAAGATTAGTACTAAACATAAATCATTCCTTTCCCCTCTTCAAAATTTGCAAAAAATAAGTTCCGAAAGAGAGAGAGAGAAGTTGACTTGAATTTTTTAGTAAAAATTATGAACAAGGGTCGCCTACCGCAAGATCATTTTTCGGCTGGATTCAAGCACCTACATTTCAAAGCACCTGACAGCACAACTTGAGAGAATCTTAAAAGTAATGGTTCATTCCAGATGATTTTAAAATTTAACTTTAGGGAGAAAGATCATGCAAACTTTGAGAAAATAAAATAAAAGAGATACTTAACTTTAACACGCAGACAAGATAAAAAATAAATAATTACAGGAAAAACAAAGTTTTGGGGACAATAATTATGTAAAATAGCCAAGGCTTCCTTCAAGGAATTTTGAAAGATGATATTTTTGAAGTTTAAGTTTGACATTTTAAAATAAAAATTAAAATAAAATTATAATTATTTAAAAAAAAAATCAATAAAGAAATTAATTGGCAGATGGAGGGCAGTTCATCAAAAGTTTAGATTGATCAGGGAATCTGCAGAGGTCAACCAACTACACGGCAAATTTCCAATTAATGTGGTGATATTTACTTACATAAAGTTACTTTGAAATGAAAGCATCTAATGTCTAATTGGCGCTTTGGGAGCTTTCACGCGGAGCTGCTACGATCTCAACCCAAAATAAGGACGAGAATAAAGTGATTATTTGAAACATGGCAAGAAGGTCGCGTTTGATACTACTGGAAAATACCAGTTACACCGATTGTCAAATTTCAAAGTGATGAAAAAAGTCTTGGCTACAGGAAAAAATCGAAACAAGACGCTTTTGACACAAGCATAAAGCTCACAGGTGCGATGCTTTACTTAGAAGTATAAAACTAGTCAGTATTCTACAAACAAAATAAATCAGTAAATAACATTTTCAATCTCAAAACAAGGGCGGGTCCTCACTCACTTGGGTTCTTTCAAAAGGGGGGGGGGGATTCACCTTTTTGAAAAGGAAATTCAAAAGCAGGTACGATGTTTATGGAATAATTCAAAACAAATTATCTCCTCAGCAGCAGTACGTAACAGCTACAGGAATATTTGGGATTGATAGGAAAAAATATCGATCCATTAACATACATTTTTTCCTCCAAGTTTAGGAGCGTTCATAAATTACGTAACATTCTAGAGGGAAAGAGGGGGTATGCGCCTCCGTTACGCAGCGTACAAATGCCGGAAAAATGCGCTAGGTAATTTAGGAACCCTTCTAGTGTATATTTCACTTTCTGCATTACAAAGGGTCTGATGATGTTTACCCGACTTGAACGAGTATAGAAATGGCTGAATAAATCGTGAATAGATAAGTAAAGAAACCCAATATAAGATCAGATCCACCTTCATCATGATAGATCTCAACCTCTAAAACGTTGTTTTACAACGATAAGAATAAACATTTTTGAAATGTCAAAGTAGTTTCATCACTCATAAATGACGTCAAGAGAAGATATTTAATTAATCACAAAATTAAATTTTTTCATATTCGTTACACAGATTATCGTATTCCTTTTTTTCTTTTTGAAAAAAAAATTGGGTATAACTCTTTTGAATATAATCCTTTTAAATAAATAGATAAATATTTTATGCTTTGAGTATTTACAATCATATCTTCATCACACATTAGAGGTGAAATTATACAGGGAATAACAGATTTCAACATATAAACAAAAATGAGAACAGAACTGGTAACCAATGAAGCAGACAACAAAGAATCACTTAAAACAGCCTTTGAAAATGTACATATAAGTTAAAATATTCATACTTTATCTCTAGTGGTTTCAATGATTTAACATGGCTAAGCTTAAACTAGGATATAAACTTGGTAAAACGAGGAAAATTCTGTGATGTTTTGTTGAGATAAAAAAATGAGAAAAATTTGGTGTTGAGTTCTGATGGGAGAGATTTAAGTTTTCCATAGGAGAAACGGAACACAAACCCTCATAAAAATATTACAATGATGTAGAATATATGGTAAAAAAGTTGAATGAAAAACTTGTCTTTATTATTGTAGTATACGATGAAGCAAAAGAGTTGACATTTGCTCTTTGAATATTTCTTTCATGGATATGTTACGGGCAAACGCCAAAACCTGGGCACATAAAGATGGGCAAACCTAGCCCGCGCCGATCGCGGAGTGTTCACTGAATTTTTGATCCGGAATTTTCATTTTCTGACTATTTTTTTCTGCTCAGGTTTATTCATATAACGCAATCTGCCGGGACGAATCCGAAAAAATGATGTTTGAAGTAAGATTTACCTACGAGCTACGTTACAAAGGCGTTGCTACAGGTTCGTCATTACAATCGGAAAGCTCCGCGGCACTGGCGTGGCGTGTTTTGCGAGATATACATAGGCTGTCCAAAAAGTACCGAGACTGGTTCCATAACTCAAAAACCAGGATAGCCAGAGGCTTGATCTTTGTCTCATTTGAAAGATCAAATCAATATCTATCGATTAAGACCAAGATCAAAACTTTTGGTCAAATATTTCAAAAGTTACAACACAGTTTGTAAAAAAAATATCTGGACCCCCTACCGTTTTTTATGACTATTTTATCTTTCCGGGAACACTCTCTAAATTATTAATGATCAGTGAACGGTTCTTTTGCAGCTAATCATGGCAAAACCTAATCGATTTGGAAACACTGTCAAGCCGTCGTCGTCCGACTACGGGCATACGGGTTCAAAATCCACGGGGAAAGAATGAACCGTCGGTAGGCCACCCTCAACAAACCCGGGAAATTTTCGGCAGTTGTTGACAGTTCATAGTGCGTGCGTGTTCTATGCTGCAGATAGTGAGTGATTTTGTTTCTGTGTGCGAAATTTTTGATACCACTGCACTGCTTTATCTCTTTCCATGATGGTATCAAAAATTTCGAACACAGAAACAAAATCACTCACTATCTGCAGCATAGAACACGCACGCACTATGAACTGTCAACAACTGCCGAAAATTTCCCGGGTTTGTTGAGGGTGGCCTACCGACGGTTCATTCTTTCCCCGTGGATTTTGAACCCGTATGCCCGTAGTCGGACGACGACGGCTTGACAGTGTTTCCAAATCGATTAGGTTTTGCCATGATTAGCTGCAAAAGAACCGTTCACTGATCATTAATAATTTAGAGAGTGTTCCCGGCAAGATAAAATAGTCATAAAAAACGGTAGGGGGTCCAGATATTTTTTTTACAAACTGTGTTGTAACTTTTGAAATATTTGACCAAAAGTTTTGATCTTGGTCTTAATCGATAGATATTGATTTGATCTTTCAAATGAGACCAAGATTAAGCCTCTAGCTATCATGGTTTTTGAGTTATGGAACCAGTCTCGGTACTTTTTGGACAGCCTATGTAGATTGTTATGCCATTGAAACCTGAGGAAAAGGATCGATTAACAGGGTGTTCGCAGCGAACACTTTGATAATCGAATCTGTACCATAGGTTTAAATGGCAGAACAATCGATACATCGCAATTCACGCCACGCCACTGATCGCGGTCAACGTTCACTTCGGGATAAGGTCAAAGTTTCGTGGAAACTTCGGAATCTGAGATCGCAATATGCCCAGATTTCGGCATTTGCCTGTGATAGATGTTTGAATAGAACACAACAGAGAAGTTTGACGAATGTTTGGAAGCTGTCAAAATCACAGAAATAGTTTCAAAGCAATGCACCAGTACTGAAATGCCGTAGATAAATGGATGTATTTCTACCAAACTGCACTAAGTGCAATAAGACATGAGCCCTGAGACCCATAAGAATATATGCGTAACACGGATCACGTTATAATTCACATGGTTCCGTTTGACAGAAACATGTCCAAATGAGAGGTGAATATGAATAAAAAAATTAGCATTATAAACTGCATTGAATCTATTTTATCTCTACTCAAGCAAAAGGGAATGCATTGTGGCAGTGAGGGTCTAGCTACCATGAAAATCCATGCTAAATGCCGAACTCATCTGAACTGAAATTTTCACCAAAGATATTACTTGAAGCAATTAGTTCTGGACCGAACTATAAACCACAAACCATACTTCGGATTTGGAGCCTTTTCAACATAATTTTTAAACATGTATGAAGCATGGAAAAAGCTGAATATGATCGTTAAGTGATTATGAATAAAAGCACCATACGAAATGAAATTAATATAGTCTTAGCTTAAAATAAAAGATACTTTAGTGCCAAATTTTAGAATCAGAATTTTTCTCGGTTTGTGAGCTGGTTACAGCAATTAGAAATTAAAAACTTGACAGCATATCTTTTAATCTTACATATCATCTAGAGAAACGTTGGTTTACTTAAAGTAAAAGTATTACATAAATCTACAAGATCCTGGTGTTTTAAACCGATTTTTGATTCTGAAGGATTATATTTTTCAGTTCGATTTCCTTCAATATACAACTCAAGTAAGCCATTGCATCCAGATGGTTCCATTCTATACAAGCAATGTCACACTTCCGAACCTTTAATACTTGTAGATCATCATTTCTTAATTACACGTCAAAATTATAACATATTTTACACAAAGAGGAACATTCCCTCTTCGTCATGATACTTTCAGCAAAATAAAGAAACTTGATAAAGCCTAAATAGTATAGTATTTACATTTTGAAAAGGAAGAGAAAACAGGAAAGAGAGAAGGGACGAAGAGAGAAAATGAAATAGGCGCACTTTTGACTGTCATTAAGTTATGGAGATTCGTTATTCGTCATTAGTTCTAAAGCTAAATTAAATAGTAATAAGCGCGTTGCTTTCCAAAATAGATTTAGTGTCATTACTGAGAAAACCCACGATGGAGACAAACGCTGGAGTCTACAAAACTTTTATTGCACAAAAGCGAAGTTCGTGTTTGAAGTAAGATGGTTAAAATCAGGTCGGTTGATTTGAGATGAACCAATCTCTATAGGTTGGAACAAATGAGACATAGTGAAGCCTCGAGAATAACACGAGGAAAAATTGTGAAACTCAGATATGGATTTGTCAACTCATCACACTGGAAATGTATATCTGCTTTTGATTGTGCTTACCCATCGTTGGCAACCAACTGTTTCGGCGAGGCCATCGTCGAGAATTTGTTCTCGTGCAGGGCGTGAGAATTCCCATTCACTAGAGTGACATTGACGGAATGGGATCTTGAATGGTTGAGATTCAAAGTGGCCGATTGTGAATTACAGTTGGAGATCTCGATGTGGTTATTGCTGACGATTTGATTGACCGAGCGGGACCTTGTGTGGCCGTTGGTTTTCATACTTGTATCGTTGATTTGATCTTTCAGAGCTATCTGATAAGCGACTTCGAATGCTTGGCCGAGAGTTAGAATGACTTCAGTTGCTTGATCCTAGAAGAGAACATAGTGTTCTAGTTAACATTTATAACTGGAAGTTGAGTACACATACACTGAAAAAAGATTGATAGAATTTACCATTCCTTCACGCTGTATTTATCACAGCGTGAAGGAATGGTCAATTTTACCGATCTGCAAGTCGATTCTGCCAGAGGAATGGTTATCTGAGCCAGTATATAGTAACGTCTAGGCACAATTGTCTCTAAATTGACGCTATGTGAAATACAGCGTAAAAAATGGTAAATTCTATCAATCTTCTTTTTCAGTGTAGAGTGTCTATATAGGGAGAGTGTGGACATGTCAAAATATGGAGTTTTTAGGGCCTAACAGGGCAGCCAACCTTCGAACACAAAAAATGTCACTGCCAATTTCCAGATTCCGAAATCAAACCAAGCTGGCCAGGAATGTTCAGTAATAAGCGTTCTTCCGCAAAAATTAGTTAATGTATGCAAAAACTAAGTTAAATACATGCTTCACAAACGACATATGGTAACAATTGTTCTGGATGATAATTTGAGTTCATAGATTGGCTGCCCTTTTGGGCCCTAAAAGCTCCATGACCTACCCTCAAAATTTTCGACAAGTCAGTACTCTCGGTAGATATAGCAACAGATAAAAATGAGCGGGTAGTCATGTAAGAAAAAAATACGAAAATTCATTAAGAGGAAAACACGACGAGAAAAGACGACATCCATGCCGCAAATTGGAGACGAAAGTGACTTAAACGCCCGAATACACCTATTCGTGCTCAATGGCTGTCATTGTTGCATATGTAGAGTATGAAGGCGCACTGCCTATCTTCGCGTTCACAATGAGCATCTCGAACTGTTTCACCCGTCGGTATCGAACAATAAAATGGATGGGATCAGTGGTGTGGCGTACTTTGCGACACATCGATTGATCTGTCATTTAAAACTATGGATAAGGATCGATAAACAAGGTGTTCGCAACGAACACCTTAAAAATCGACTCATTACCACAGTTTCAAATGGGGAAATATCGGTAATCGATCATTCACGAGTCGCCACTGATCTGCAGGGAGGAACTATTCGAACTTACGTCGTTTTAAAAAAAAGTCGGTAATAGAAGTTCCGAATTGAAAACTGTAGACTAACCGTCAAAACTATTTAAAGATTCAGAAAAGTTTCGAAAACATTAAATAATTCTCAATCCGTGAAAATCCATTTAGGCAGCTTCCAATTGAACGCACCTTCAATTTGAGTGACACTCTGCGCATTGCCCCGGAGTTAGTTTAGATGCATGACCCAACCGAACCCAGCTAGAATCGACTTGGCTCATCACAACGAGGAATAAAATATCAGATAGATATGCAGCCGTTTCATTTTGGATTTCAAAATTATATCTGGTCATAGGACATAAGTCGTTTTTAAAATGGGTCGGACACATTGTTCTTAATTGCAAAATACAGTCTAATTGTCAACACTATTTTAAGAGCGCGGAAAGTTTCAGAAACATGAGATTATTTTCAATCAGAGCGCCGTGAAAATCCAGTAACGCGGCTTTCAATCGTACGCGCCTTCAATTTGAGTGATACTCTACGCATTGCCCCGGAGTTAGTTTAGATGCATGACCCAACCGAACCCAACTAGAATCGACTCGGCTCATCACAACGAGGAATAAAATATCAAATAGAATATGCTGCCGTTTCATTTTGGATTTCAAAATTATATCTGGTCATTGGACATAAGTCGTTTTTAAAATGGGTCGGATATATTGTTCATAATTGCAAAATGTAGTCCAATTGCTACACGGCCAGCTAAACTATTAAAACACGGCTCTGTGAGTGAGGCAACTGACCCATTCGCCTCAAGTTGGTCTCAGCCTAATACAGGATCTCTACGTCATTTAGTAACGTCATTTTACCAAAACCTTGGAGAAGGCTAAAATGACCCCTGACATACATAAGTAGAGAAATGAATATAAAGAATAGCTTTATGAGGGCATACACCGTTAACTGAATTAAAGTTAATTGAATGAACGTTCATTTTACCAACGTGAGTTAAAGAAGTTAAACCAAAAAGTTAAAAGAGAGCGCCATATATGAGCTTCCTGACGTTGAACCTTTACCATTTTCTTCGTCGCGCCCAGAGACAAGTGACCCTCCACTGGTCTCTCGGCAATGGTGGAACTTTCTGCTTTCGAGACTTCAACATTCATCTGTTGACCTACCTACTAGGTCGATGGTTAACGACGTGTAGGGAGTTTCGTTTTGCTAACATACCAAAATTCGGAAAGCTTGTTCGGCTCATTAGGTAACCCGAAGCTCATCCACCTATAAGGTAGGCCAACATCCGAAAGAAAGGGGTGATGACTGGTACTCCCTTATAAATTGTCCACAAGGGGGTGTTGGCTGTTGAATCCCCGAATCATTAAAACCTATGGAAATGAATCGATTCTTGGAGGGGCCAGGTGCTCCGACAAGGATCGATATTTTGGCATAAGTTTAAATGGAGGAAATCCGGTGTTGCCAGATTGCTGGATCCGCCACTGGAAGAGACGAGATGCTTCAGCTCATGGAGAAAAAAAAGGAGGTGGTCGACAATTGAGGAGTGTTTACCTCGTGACGTATGTCGGTACAATATGGTGTCGATCTTTCAGCGAAATCCGAAATTCGAAGAATGAAAAACGGAAAATAACGTCCGTTTTTTCAGTTTAGATCAACTCAAAATATTGTTTAAAGCACTTCATTAAGAATGAATTTTTTCCGTGAACGATACCATTCCGAGAGAATCGATGATAAAACCGTCCGTTCCGACCTGCGTCATCAACAAAATCCAAGATTCCCGAAATGCGATCACCTCCTTTTCCGCACCATGAGCTTGGAGAAAGAATGTGCTTGGAAAAAATCAGCGTTTCACAGACAAAAGCACTAGTGGAACTTAAAAACATTCTTAACTCAATTTTTTTGAAAATGTGGGTTCGTTCCTTTCTGATAAGCTCGGTCTAATTAACTCTAGCGAACAAATTTTTTCAAAAGAGCATAATTGTCCATATTCTTTCCAAAATTTTCCTGATTTTTGCGTGTATTTTGAGGATAAATCAGGGGAATTTTCAGTTACAAATGTCCAACAGCTTCCTTGTAAATCTGTAATTTGTGAGTGGAATTTTAGCGACGTTATAATAAAGTTACGCGGGGGAAATGGCGAAATGAGACAGAACTGAGTTGTCAAGTACTCACCATCGAGCTGACACAAAAGACGTGGCAGTAATGTGCGTTACTAGCATGATCCTTCGTAATGTACGCGAAATGCGTTAACTCCTCTGCATCTTGACATGCGCAGTGAATGTTGCGAATTTCATGCTCGCAAACCAGTGCCTGTAACCAAAGATTGAAAGTTGATAGACTACTATGCTATATGGATTGCATTTTGCAAAAAGGAACCACTAGCATTGCAATGATGCTAAGATTGTGCGACTTCATCTTTTGCAATAAAATTGCGGAAATCGTGAAAAACTATGAAATTTAGATGGTAATTTTTGTCTTAAATTTAGAGTTTTTAGCGAGTAAAATAGAAACTATTAATGGATAATCGGGTTTTTTCTCCAAGACAAAAGAAGTTGCACAATCTTAGCAACATTGCAATGCTAATGGTTCCTTTTTGCAAAATGCAATCCATATCATAAGGGACCTTTTCTCAATAATTAATAAAATACGTAAGGTTTCTTCTTGCGATCGAGTTTAGTTCTTGACTTCAACATAGCGTTTTCCTCCTGCAAAATTGATCAAATCCACTCACAGATACTCCTTTTAATACCCTGGAAAAAAAAACACATTGCATCTAGAGTCCAGACTTTTGAAAACATTGACAAGAAAAGGACTCTTGATTCAATCAGATTTAAGATTAAATCAAAAGAAAATCCGCTCAAATTAAGAGGCTTGGTTCTTGATTTGGGCTTAAATCTGATTGAATCAAGAGTATTTTTTCTTTTCGATTTTTTTAAGAGTCTGGACTCTAGATCCAATGTGTTTTTTTCCAGCGTACGGTAATCCCAGAGTGTAGTTCGGGAATAGTCAATTTTGATTGGTTCATATTGCTTCTCCGCCTCAGACGGGAATACGGGTGACCGCTTTTACTATAGGTTACTCTAGTTTGAGATAACCCATCCCTCATATTACTCACGAGAAATCAGCGCCACACGTCGTTTTCCATAGGGCTTTTCTTAAGAATGGGGGTTTCGTGGCAATTTTAGCCTGACGTCGGATTCGACTTTTCCCCGCCTCCTTCCATCGTAGTGTACACTGCCGTGCTGAGAAAAAACGCCTTATGAGCTTTCAGGCGTTGCCAAATTTCCTTTAATAAATCACGACTTTTCGAGAAAATTTTTAAACGTTTTTCCTCCAATTTTTTTAGATAATTTTGTTCGCAATTTCACCTTAATTTCCTGAAAATGGACCACTAGACAAAGGTACGAATTTCAGCATTCTGATTTATGTTTCTCAACCAAAATTTGCCGTAAAACACGATGCGCGCAACAAAAATTACCAAAATTAACTTACGAAGATATTTAATAATTCTTGATGCGTGAATTCAAACCATCCGCTCATGAAAACTCAATGCCCTACGTGATTCACATCGCGCGCTAAACGTTATCATGACAGTGTCTGCGATGAAAAATCTGGCAACCTCGATCTTGACACTTTGACTCAGCTATAGCAAATTGCTTAACGTTAATATCTCCGTTAGGAGTTGGTTTCAGTAATTTTCGTTGCGCGAATGGTGTTTTACGTGAAATTCTGGTTACGGAACACGTGTCACATTGCTTAAATTCGTACCTTGTCTAGTTGTCCATTCTAAGGAAAAATATCCGTCGCTTTCTTCAAAAATAAACATTTTATTGAAGGAAATTTCGCAACTTTCGAATGTTTATGCGGCGTTTTTCCTTAGCACAGCAGTACATGTAACGCAATCGTTGACCCTCCCCTCTTCCTGCCACCCTGGCCCTGAACTCATTAATGGACGGGCCCTCCTAGATCCTAGGAATTCGAAATTAAAATGCGTGACACCTCTGAGGTGATTATGACGCACTGAGTCACCAACAGGAAAACCAAGTTACTCTCCTCACATTTCATACTACATCCGCAAAAAAATTATCTTTCAATTTAGAACACTCGCTTGTAAATTACGAACAATTGTGAATACAAACTGAGGAAAACATGCTGCAAAACTGGGATATGCGTTAGTGAACCGGTTACCAAGAACTGAATCTCCAAGTGATTAATTATAAATCATTTAAAAAAAAAAAAAAAAAAAAAAAAAAAAAAAAAATTAAAACATTTCCTTCACGAGGCTGACAAATTGACACATTCTTGGAAATAAATCTCAATCCAAATTAAAAGGACATGAGTTAAAATTAATGATGAACATCGATGGGGAAACTGCAAAAATGCAGATCTCGGTTGCGGTGTTGTAAGATCTCTGTTCCTACTTTACTTTTTAGTAGAAGACCAAACCAAAATCGTGGTTTGAAATTTGGACAGAATATTTTAGACACAAAGAGGAAAAATCACGGAAGTTTTCAAGAAATGGACAGAAAGGAGCCAAGCAACATCAGCTATTGTTAAATTTAACTGGGCAATTTAATTTTGTACGAGTGAAAGTTTGTGCAGATTCCTTTGAACTTTTAAGGGATTTACTTCGCACTATGGAGAAAATGTTATGAAAGTACAAAAATCCGCACAACAGTTATCATGTAAAATATTAAATTGCCCAATTAAATTTGACAACAGCTGATGCGGCTTGGTTCCTTTCTCTTTAACGCGGTCCAAATGACGTTCAGTGTAACAATGTAACAAATAAATTATGACAGGAATCCTTCAACGCTGCAAACCGATGTTCGTATTTTTGAAGTTTCACCATCGATAAGTAGTAAAAATAAATATTAACCAAAAGAAAAAAGGAAACCATTGAATTCCTACCTGGTCCATAGGATCCAAAAATTTGACACCTCGATACGAGATGGCAAGTACTATTTGGGGTACCGTCACATCGTTGCCTGCAGACTTCTTCAGCTTCTGGATGGACTTTTTTGTCGATTCAGTCCCTCGAAGTTCCTTGACCACGGTTGATCCCAAATACTGTTGGGGAAAAAAAAGGATTCTGGTAAATGAAAAGTCCAACTACAGCATACAAGAGATGAACAATTTTAAATGGGCAGTTGAGATTTTCCTTTCATGGACCAATGAAGTTTTCACTGGGAAAAAGTCTCTTAGATCTGCAGTCTGGACTCTTAAAAATTTTGACCAGAAAAAATACTCTTGATTCAATCGGATTTTTCCTTGAATCGAGAGGCAAGACTCAAAATTAAAGCGGATATCTTTTTGATTCAAGCAAAAATCCGATTGGATCAAGAGTATTTTCTCTTGTCCAATTTTTTAAGAGTCTAGACTCTGGATCTAAAAAACTTGTTTCTTCAGTGTTCACTGGAAAAAAAAACACATTGGATCTAGAGTTCAGACTCTTAAAAACATCGACAAGAAAAAATACTCTTGATTCAACCAGATTTAAGCTTAAATCAAGAAGCAAGCCTCTTAATTTGAGCGGATTTCTTTTTGATTTAAGCTTAAATCTGCTTGAATCGAGAGCCAAGACTCAAAATTAAAGCGGATATCTTTTTGATTCAAGCAAAAATCCGATTGAATCAAGAGTATTTTCTCTTGTCCAATTTTTTAAGAGTCTAGACTCTGGATCTAAAAAACTTGTTTCTTCAGTGTTCACTGGAAAAAAAAACACATTGGATCTAGAGTCCAGACTCTTAAAAACATCGCCAAGAAAAAACACTCTTGATTCAATCAGATTTAAGCTTAAATCAAGAACGAAGCCTCTTAATTTGAGCGGATTTCCTCTTGATTTAAGCAAAAATCTGATTGAATCAAGAGTCCTTTTTCTTGTCAATATTTCCAAGAGTCTGGACTCTAGATCCAATGTGTTTTTTTCCCAGTGCATAACATAAAAAAAAAAGAAAAAAGAAAAATTCACAAAATTTCAAGTTCTTATGTCCGTTTTTAACGAATTCAAGTGGCTACGTACCGACGCCAAGTAGTTAATGGTGCCGGTGACCAGCGCCTCCGGTTTATGTCGCCACTGAGTGGTGAGCGTCGGCGGGACTCCGATGAGCAACTCGGAGGGATTCCTGATCTCCAGATCGTTCTGGACAGGGGCCGCGTGTGGAGGCGGAGGGGGCGGCGGGGCTGGCCTCGACTTCTTGTGACGGTGAAGGGTCCCCGTGTTGCTTCCGCCAGTGTTGTTCGTCGCCCCTGGGTTCGGGTTCGTCGCTTGGGGTAACTTGCTCTTGATGTCCTCCTTCAGTTGCTGGATGTTGGATTTCTGTCCAGAATCGAACAAAATCAACGTTTCATTGGGAGAAAACGGTTTTAATATAAGTTCTAGACTCACGCCTAGAGACATTGACCCGACGCACAGTGGATCGAGTCAATTGAAGAGGTTGGACATGAGATTTTGGACTAAAACTGCAAATTTTGATGTTTACTTCGTCACATTTTAAATTCCAAGGGGTGCTCTTGGAAGAAAATTTCACCAGGAAACCAATGAAACCCCTTTTAGAATCTCAAGGTTTAGTATAAACGGAGTTGTAAGCTTTTGAAGTTTCCAAATTTTGTCCGAGCTCTCCCATTGACTCGATCCATTGTGCGACGCATCAAATTTTTTGCAGTTTGTTTGAGGCTCCAACCCATACTTTATAGAGTGGGAGTGCATACATTTTTTTCAGTGGTCGAGATTTTGCAATAACCGCACTTGACGGCTCATTTTCATTTTTCCCCTTTCCGATTCATTTTTTAAAATCTTTTATGATTAGTTTTTTTTTTTTTTTTTTTTTTTTTTTTTTTTTTTTTTTTTTTTAGCATACGTTTTTTGCCAATTGAAAATGAAGTTGTGATAAACTCCGAAACGTTCCGATTTTACATGACAACCTCTCCTCCAGAATAAAAATAAATTAATTTTTACAGAGTGCTTTCTGAGTGCTGCAGATAGTTGGACTACAAATTACGATTAGGGGCTAAAATCTTCGTCTCTGTTCAAAAACAACGTATATATCATTATTTTCCCTATACACATACGTGTTATTACGAGGGAGTCAGAATTCGTAGTACCTAATTGCAAAATTTGGTCCAGTTTGAGTCGTGGTTACTTGAGATTCGGCTGTTTTTATGGAAAGCACGGAAAAACGGTTTACAACACATCCACACAATTGGCGTTATACAATATTTTCTGCTTCTAACACAAATTGCCCTAAATTGCGAAATAAATCAAAATCCAGTCATATTGATGAATTCAAACCCCCAGCTAACCATGTTGTGTACCGAACTGTGTTTGGCGCAACGCGTGAGGTATTAGGCGCTTGTAGGCGCTAATATGCGTCTCGCGCCGACCAGCGACCGCACTGTGTTCGGCGCAATGCGTGAAGTATTCCTGCGGTCTTGCAAGCGTTCAAGCTTATGGAGGAGGAAATCGCAAGTAATTTCACACAATAAAATAGACTAATTTAGAGGCTACGTCATTCGATATAATATCAAACCCTTGGTTCAAATGCAAACAAAAATGGGACCTTGTTTCTGATTCGCGCCCTTTGCGCCATGGTGGTAAAATGCGTTCAAGTGTTCCCAACAATCGAAATTTCTCGTGTTTAATGAGTCTTTAGTTGATTTAGGACCAGTCAATGACTAAAGTTTGATAAATTAACACAATTAACTCATGCATAATAAAGATGTTGCATGTGTGAGGAATTTGCGATTTGACTGTTGATTCATTTGTAAAAGTTCGTGAGAAACACGATGGTGCCACTGGTTTTCTCTGAAATCAACTCCCAAGCTCAAAAAAAGCTCTCCAGTCGAGGTCAAAATGGAGGGGATATTCCACACTATCCTGAGAGCCCACTTCCACATCAAAACAAACTCTCCATGCAAAGATAGGGAGCAAATACATCGACAGGGCTGCCACTTTATTTGGGGACTCCAAAACTGAAAACACGGCAACCCTGCTAATGTATTTGCTCCCTTTCTTTGCATGGAGAGTTTGTCTTGATGTAAAGGTGGACTCTCAGGATAGCGTGAGATATTCCCTCCATGTTGGCCTCAACTTGAGAGCTGTTTTTGAGCTCGGGAGCTGATTTCAGAGAAAACCAGTGGCACCATCGTGTTTCTCGCGAACTTTCACATAAAAATCCACAGTCAAATCGCAAATTCCTCACACATGCAACATCTCCATTCCCACGCGTGGTTATGTTTGTTTGAGTTTGAACCAAGAGTTCGATATGATATCGAATGACCTAGCCACTAAATCGCATAGGCGGATCTAGCAATTTGGCAACAACGGACTTCCTCCATTTGAACCTATGTTAAATAATCGATTCTTGTCGGAGCACCTGGCCCCTCCGGGAATCGATACATTACCATACGTTTAAATATAGAAAAATATCGTTGCCAATTTGCTGGATCCGCCAATACTAAATCGGTCTATACTAGAGTCCCTTTATACTGAGAGTCAAGACAATGTGAATCCATTTCTAATTGGTTCCCGTATTTTAGGCCTTCACAGTGTCACAAACGGGAATAAAGATTACAATTTCACCGATTGCAAAGATTATAATCTGGAATGGACCAGGGCATTACGGGTTCGGCAAGGAACAAACGGAATGAGAGAAGGAACGGAGAGAGGAATCTGAGAATGGGCCGATCGAAGATTACAAAGGACGTTCAATTTCTGTAATCTTTATTCCCGTTTGTGACTCCATGAGGGGGTGTTGTCTTGACTCTCAGTATAAAGGGACTCTTCGACGGTGCAAGTCGGCAATCACATAGCTCGTTTGCGGTGTCTGAAAATCTCCACAACTATGTTATTTTTTTAACGGAGAACAAATGGACGTGATTCCTTGAAGTTTTTGCAGAATTTTCCTCGCACATAGAAGAAAAATCACGGCAGTTTTAAAGAATTACCGTTGAGTAGTTTTCCGTTTAACAAATAAAGTATGACAGGAAGTCTGCGACGTCGCAAACCGAGTTATGTGATTGCCGACTTTCACCGTCGTCTTGTCTTTACTTGAACGGCAAATGAAGTATCTGCGGGAGCTCACTCACCAGTTGCTTGAGGTCGGAGTCGAGATCCTTGAGACTGTTAACCGGACTAGACTTGCGGGAGGCGGCCGTGGTCTTGGTGTTGAGGAGCTGCGAGTTCTGCGCCGAGTTGAGGTTCACCGAGGCTAGGATCCGCCTCCGGTGCCCGGGCTTGGGGATCTCCAGGACGGCCGTCAGCTCCACCTCCCATATCCTCCGCACCCGCGACATCTCCGCGTAGAGGTGCCGCCGAAACGTCTCCGCGTGGCACTCCAGCCCGATCTCCTTGAGCCAGTCGCCGACCGACTCCTCGTTGGCGTTGTGCTTGTCGTCGTCGTTGTTGTTCGTCGTCGTGCTGTTGTTGTTGTTCTTGTAGATGGTGTTGTTGTTGTGGAGCCGGTCGTAGACCTCCTTGGCGCGGTTCGGGAGCGTCGAGGCGGATTTCAGGATCGGCTCCACGTCCTGCTCGTTGACGCCCAGTTCTTTCAGGTCGTTCTCCGTGATCACCCCGTTCTGAAACACGGAGTAAAACTTGTTAGAGCTGGTGATAGGTAACAAGGTGGAGATGTGGACAAGCACTGAAAAAAAATATCGGTGTATTTACTGAGAAAAGGGTAAAATTACCAAGAATTCGGGGTTCTATTTGATCCCAGTTTTTTCTTGGTAAAACTACCATTCATGGAATTGGTAATTTTATCGAGAAATCTCGGTAAAATTATTGACTTTCTCGGTAATTTTACTGGACCTTGGTAAAAACGCCAATATTTTTTTATCGACTGTGGTAGAATTACCGAGATAAAATGGCAAAGTTACCGGGAATTGATTACCAATAAAAGTGGTATTCTTACCTGAAAAAGTAACAGTAAAAATACCGGTTTTTAGGTAAGCTTACCCGTCTGTCTTGGTAAAATTACCAATAATTGGTGAAAAAAGTGAGATGGAAAAGGTACCAACGGACCTTGGTAAAAACGCCGATAATTTTTTTTCAGTGTATTTATGCTAAATGGAACTAGGTGCAAGAGGAAAGATGGGGTGTGCTGGTTAGTAGTCGGGCCTGAATGGGAAATATAAAGGCCAGTGACGTCAGTGGTTACGACAAGAGAAACGACGATCAACGACACGGTCTTCAACTCATGAGCCTTGTCCACAAGGCTCTTGTCACATGCCCACGGCTCACGAGTTAGCGCTCGATCCCTTTTGAGTTAATGTCAAATCCCGCTTTTCCATTTTCTCAAAAGGAGCTATGGCCACATTTAAATTGTGTCTTAGGCAGCTTGTAGGAGCACACCCCATCTTCCCACTTCCTCATAGTTCCTTTTAGCATAAATACGTCCAAATGGAGCTGGGTCCACACCATTTCGCGGGGAAAACAAAGCAAAAAGGTTACAAAAATTAATCTTTTAACTCTAATGAGTGCCAGAACAAAACTGAGGGGGGAGAGTGGGAGAGTGTTCAGCTCAGGCAGTTTGCATTGGAATAGTAAGTTGAGTTCACGCCAAGAGATCTATACCAGTTTGGGTCTTTTTAGACCTCATCAGTAGATCACACTCGTCAAACGGTTTTAGCAGGCCTCTCAATCGAGCTTCGTTCCTTCCCCACCATCTATTGTTCAAAAAGTTAACGAATTGCTGTAGCTGAGCCATAGCGTCAAGATTTAGGTTGCCATATTTCCATAAAGCAGAGACTTCCACGGTGACTTTTAGAGTGCGATTTGACTAACGTAGATCATTTCGTTTTCATGAGCGAGAGGTTTGACTTCACGTGTCAAGAAAAATGTAATATATTGGTTAGATGTTAATTTCAGTAATTTCCGTCGCGGGAATCGTGTTCTACGAAATTTTGGGTATGAAATGGACTTATTTATGCTAAAAGGAACTATAAGCATAGGCTTTGCATGTGAAATAGTTCTTTTTAGCATAAATACGTCCAAATATGTATCAGAATGCTTGACTTTGTACCTTGATTCGGAGAGAGTAAGGTACGCCAAGTAGATGCATAAATTACATTTTTTATTTACCCAAATGCATCCTTATGTATACCACTAAAGATGGCCCTATGGGCTGAAATACATTTGGGTAAATAAAAAATGTAATTTATGCATCTACTTGGCGTGCCTTACTCTCTCCGAATCAAGTTTCATAGATGCAATATGAGCTCCTTCAAATCCTACTTTGTACCTTGTTTAGTGGTCCATTATTGTTACGACCCGCCATTCGTAAAGCACGTATTCGACTTGGCATCTGCATAAAATTACTCATTTTTACCCTTGAACCACACTTCTCTGTGATTTCAGGTAGGGATGGGGGGGAGGGGGTTCTCTCAAATTATCAGAATTTTTCCTGATTTTTTTGCAACGAAACTAAATTTTCCCTCGACATGCTACAAACTATAATTGCAGAGATTGGATTTTTTTTTTTTTACGGAACTCGAGGTAAGTTTAAGCCGGAATGCAAATATATTGCGTCGGTCGTCATGGTCTCAGCAGCAGGACGGATAATTTTCTGATTGTAAATTACCATGGGGGAAAACCTCTATTTAGTTTCTAATTCGGGCCGATTTTAATGAAACTTTGTCATCTCGTGCTCCCGGTCATTGATCGACAGTTATAATAAAAAATCCTAAAGTTTAAGACGCCATTGCGCAAATCACCATGTGTGCCGGTGATTTTTCCTCGTTTTGCTGAAGTTAAAAAATTCTGCCTGTTATAATTTCGCATGCAACGGCGAAACAGAAAGAAAGGGGGAAAAGCGTCGCATATCATTTATACATACCGGGTGTTCCAGAGAACCCTCCACTACACTGAGATAAAAATCTCGGTGTATTTACTAAGAAAAGGGTAAAATTACCAAGAATTCAGGGTTCTATTTGATCCCAGTTTTTTCTTGGTAGTATTACCATTTATGGAATTGGTAACTTTACCGAGAAATCTCGGTAAAATTATTGACTTTCTCGGTAATTTTACTGGACCCCAGTAAAAACGCCAATATTTTTTATCGACTGTGGTAGAATTACCGAAATAAAATGGCAAAGTTACCGGGAATTGATTACCAATAAAAGTGGTATTCTTACCTGAGAAAAACAGTAAAAATACCGGTTTTTAGGTAAGCTTACCAGTCTGTCTTGGTAAAATTACCAATAATTGGTAAAATTACCAATAATTGGTAAAATTACCAATAATTGGTAAAAAATTGAGATGGTAAAGGTAGCAACGGACCTTGGTAAAAACGCCGTGAATTTTTTTCAGTGTATCTTTTCCTCGAAAATGGTCGGGAATTGAGCATCTGAACTAAAACTTCTAAGTGTAAATAAAATTGACCCTCAAGAATTCAATGGAAATATGTTTAGCCCCCCTCAACCCCATAGGGGGGGGGGGGAGTTGAGGGGATTACCCCCCGTTTCTCGCATATTTCAAATGGGAAAGGTATGTTCTGACTTCGGAATTAAAGTTTTGGCCATAAATCAGCACTTTCTATTCTATACATTTTTTCCCTGAACCCCTTTTTGGAGTCACGGGGTAGTTAGAGGCATTTTTTCGGCAAATTTCGATTGGACACTGTAGGCGTCAAAATTATCCGATTTGCAAAATCCAAAAGTTTCCTAGATGAAGAATCAATTACTTTTTGTTGATGTGCCACATGGCCTTCTATTGACCAAAAATTATGGGGGCCACATCCCTCCAAAAAATTTTGGGGCTTTGGAGGGCCATAAGTAGAAACTTTCAAAAAGCAAGGGTTTGATTTTACTTTGGACGTGGACTTTACGCAAAAAGTTACGGGGGGGGGGGGGGAAATCCCCTCAAACCCCACCCATGGGGTTTCGGGGGGCTGAAAATATTTCCATTGAATTCTCGAGGGTCAATTTACACATAGAGGTCTTAGTCCGAAAACTCAATTCTCGGCCATTTCCCGAAGAAAAAGATAGTGGAGGGGTGCTTTGGAACACCCGGTACAGCTCAAAACAAACCGTATGTTGAGCGTCGTTTTAAGACTGTAAAACCATCCTGAGGGGAAAAAACGTGAAGCTATGATGAGTTCTCGGATTGATCCAATCACATTGCGAAGTTCAAAATGAAGCATCATGCGTAGGTACTTTACTCAATCGGCGCACAATAAGAGGAATGATTGAGTTAATGAACTCAAATCGGTAATCGGTGAAAAATCAGTGAATTTTAGAAGAGAACGAGAGGAGAATTTAGGACGCTGCAGTAAGAAGTATTTTCACTATAGCGAACAGTAGAGTATTTTCAATCATGGTTGTGAAATTTGGCTCTTGAAGAAACGGACACAAGATATGTTGAGAGCAGCGGAGTTTATGGAATTCTAAAGGAGGTCAGTATCGTATTTGACATGACCAAACAGTTGGTTTGGTATGATAATGTTAGTCAATAAAGTCATTAAGAATATTGTTTGGCGGGAAATTTTTCTTTGGAACGTCATTTTCAATTAAAATTATTCCCTCATTGCCCACCAACGGGCGATTTTGATGATTTCGCTGGCCGCGAAGCGGCCTTTGGAGGCGCCCAGCGCCCCGGGGGTTGGGCCACGTAGCGGCCAGGAGGCACAGGCCCCTAGTTTTGAATAATGTCGTCAGATTCAGACTGGAAAAATCTTTTGAATTCATCGTCAGAAAAATTCACCCACTGTGCGTCCGACAAATGGAAAGCAACTGAACGGCTACGTGCGTAATCGATCTGGCAAAAAACCTAAACGAATCCAAAAATAAACCTTTAATTCGTTGAAATGACTGATTTTTTCGAATTGAAGCGTGCACAGCAGAGTTTATAAAGTTCGTGCGTTACTTCAATACACGTACATGAGGCTGGTAGCTTGGGCTTTGTGAATTTCGAAGTGACAGAATCGGAAAGTAACACGCTTTTTTGAAGAAAATAGTTGGTGGTTTTGACATGACGCTGAAAACGAGTAAGTACGTTCATTCCTTTCATTGCTGATAAAATGTGACATAGAAGGGAAAATTTCAAGGAAAGTTGGAGCCCATATAAAGAGGCCACAACCCTGTTTTCAAACCTATCCGCAATTGGTCAGTTGCGCTGGTTTAAAATCGTGTTTTGATGCTTGATTCTTGTAGATTAGCTGAATATAAAAAGATCCGTCCAGCACTGGAAAAAAAACATATTGGATCTAGAGTCCAGACTCTTGAAAACATTGACAGGAATTAGGACCCTTGATTCAATCAGATTTAAATCAAAAGGAAATCCGCTCAAATTAAGAGGCTTGGTTCTTGATTTAAGCTTAAAAGATCTGATTGAATCAAGAGTATTTTTTCTTGTCGATGTTTTTAAGAGTCTGGACTCTAGATCCAATGTGTCTTTTTTTCCAGTGAGACAGTACTGCCGTGATACCGAAGAGAGCAGTAAGTGTCAAATTTTCAAAATCGAGTTCCCTTCAAAATTCGTCTACACTCTTTTAGATGAAATCACTGAAATAGCTAAAACGACAAAATTCAGCTGGATTGTATCAAAATGAGACAAATGAGAAAGCCGTTAGAGCGCAAAA